CAGATGATTTTACTTGTCAGGGGGGGCAGGGGTGCTGCCACTCAATGGGCTAAGCTAGCAAATTTTTTTTCAGGGATTTAAATTGCCATTTTACAATCGTGAGCACATTTTTCTATACTGTGCTTTGTGGTGAACAAGAAGGACGGAAGCAATTGTCACAGTTAGTAAATTTTTATCAGATGATACAATACTAATGTAAAATATGTATTGGTAACTTAGTGGAGAATCAGGGTTAAGTACCTGGGACAGAAATTTGTTTTTGATTTCCTAGAACTGAAAGAAATGGAAAAGCAGAGATGTTTGTTCCACCAACACTCATGGATGATGATTACATATTTATTCCCATTAACAGAAGGTATATAATCAGTGATGTAGTCAGAATTTCTGGTCAAGGGGGGGGGGGGGCAGGGAGAATTCCAGGAGGGGCCTATGGCTCAAATGTATCTATTTAAATTTTTATAGCAAACATTGGTTATTAGCAGTGATCACGCCATGGCATATTATTATCATGGATTCCTTAACATGGGACGTTAATTTAAGAAAGCATAAAACTAGTTACATTTTAAGGTTTGTGCTTTAATTAAGCTAAATTGATGTAACTTTACTATAGTCATGTGTGAAGCTTTCTCAATGCATTGTATTTTTTCCTTTTAATTACAGCTACTGGGAACATCTCTCCACCAAGTTCAATTTACAACAAACGCATTTGAAGCTTTCTTGCAAAGTGTTGAAGGTATTGGTCTGACATTAATTGTTGACTTATTACAAGTAATAAGCAATACTGAAGTCTGTTTAATCCATGAATTTTTTAAAGCAATGGTGTAAGTTTGTATGATGCACCCTACATTATTATTCCACCCTGCCTAATGACAGACAATGAAATTAATGATTTTCAGGTACCACAGCAGCCACTTACAAGTAACAACTGTGGAATTTACATCTCATTATTTTTAAAGTATTTTCTGCAGGTATAGTAATGGGGCCAGTTGTTCAGAGCTGGGTTAGTTTAACCCTATGTTAACTTAAAATTCAAAGCAAACTTGCTCACAGCTTGTCTATAAATTTGGAAGTGTTTCTTCAGAGATCTTGTCTGGATCGATAAGAGTTTACTTCTCTGAAGTTTTGAAATAAACAGACGTGTATAAATACACAAACTAAAACAGCTGGTTAAATTTTAACACAGGGTTAGCACTAATCCACCTTTGAACAACCGGCCCATGGTTGATATATATAATGATATATTCAATAAGTTACTTTGTATTAATTGAAATACTTTCTTTTCACACTTTTTAGGAACTGGAAGATTATGAATCTGAACCTGATAATTATTGTTGCATTGTACACAATTGGTTTGAGCCACAAGAAGCTAAGGAAAAACGCACTACTCTAAGACACAATTTTCAAACGCTTTTAACAATGAAGAGACATAAAATGCAATTTAAATAAAGTGAAATAAAAAACAATTGGAATGGTAGAATTACCTATCCTAAGATTATGTATATATATAGTGATTATTAATATAGCAAGTCTCACTGTAAATATTTATATTAAATCTCATTATAATCTATTAACCCGTTGAGTTACTTTGCGCCCTGATTCACCTTACTTTATTATTTTGCTCTCTCTAACATCAGACAAAAAAGCTTGTCAAGAGAATGCTGGTGCTTAATTGGTTAAATGAGGACTAATGATATAATCATTGTTTTGAGAAAATATTATTCTAAATGTCATAGATCATCTTCTTTTTCGTTAATAATACTTCTTTCTAGGTTAACAATAGCTGAACAGACTTTGACAATAGAACTTACATAAGATTTCAATGTCAATGGTATAACACCTCTTAAAATACCAAAACATTTCAATTTTCTGATTACTCGCTCAACATGAATGCGGGATGCAGCAATTCTTCTTGTCATAGTTGAAGCTGCCGATGAGGCTACACCCTTTCTCATTATTGGCGGAGCAATTAATTTTGTCTGTTTAAGAGCAAACAGATCTTGCACATTGAATCCCTTGTCTGCCATAATTACATCCCCAGGCTCCAATTTATCCAAAAATCCACTTTTCCTTACAATCTCCTTGTCACTGATACTACCCGTGAATAGGTTGGACACAAAATTGATGTGTGCAATAGGAGAGATTGATATCAACAATTTAAACGTGTTTCTTGATTTATAGTTGCTGTATGTGCTCCTCTGACTTGGCAATCGATATGGTGTTTCAATGTAAAATTCTGTGCAATCGATTATGCCTCTTAGGTTAGAGATTTCCCTGTATGCTTTAGGATACTTGAGCCCACTCAACTCTGACAATGTTGGGAAATGAAGTAAAAAGTTAAGTTCTTTCTCCAAAAATACAATCCAGCTCATGATGATTCTACTAGTAGATGCAACAGAAATCCCAAAAACATTTGCAAGAACAGTAATTGATAAGTTGCGGCGTAATCTAACCAGTGTTAGAACCAGTTGCTCCCATGATGATAGTGCAGAAAGATTGTATTTTTGCTAAAAATAGGAAGGGTAATATACAGTAATATTAGAAAAAAATCTTGCTATTTTTTTATTTCTGTATTTACATCCTTCTGGACTATATTCATACAACAAAAATACCATAGTGTGCTTCGTCTGTATAGTTTGTCGAGTACTAGCTATTTGCACACTAACCTTAAGGTAATGTTCACCAACAAATTTCTTGTTTTTTTTTTTTTCACCTTTCCACATATGCATTCTTGCAGATTTGTCTTTTATCAGATTATGAAGTGCATGGAGTACACTTACTTCTAAACCTTAAATTATAAAAAAAGGCAAATAGAAACAGACCAATGTATTTTTTCCCTTGGTTATTTCTTATATACGAAAGTACATACAAATTGTACTTACCAGTGTAATGCATTGAGTTCTTCGGATTTTCTACATTTTGCATGAATAAATGTTTTGACATTTTTTTGGGGGATATCATCTGGCTATCAGAGTACACTGTTAGATGATCCAATGTGACATTTGTCTATATAGAGCAGAAATTTGAAAGAAGGTATAAAATGTCATGGATGGTATATAGGCCATATTCACTCCCTCATACAGATTAGACAAGAAAATATTTAACCCCAAATTAAGAGATCTTTTTCCTCAGAAATTTGTAAATTTCTCCCTTGAAATATCGCAGAGATCAAACAATGCTGAAACAACCCACAGAAACAGCTTTAAAATCGCCCTTGGGGAGTGGGTGAGAGTGTTTATATCCATGGACGGACTAAGGGCTTGTTTATAAATTATGATCCCACCGAGGTGGGACAGGACGTTTTCATCCTGCCTCAGCCGGAAAACTTGCCTTAGGTGGGATAGCATGTTTATATGAACAAAATACATTGCTGGGATGAAGCCTTTTAAGGTTGTGATCATATAAACAAAATTTTATATTTCCTAAACCTGAAATTATAAATTAAACCAGTACAATATTAAAGTGCTTACTTGAGTTGCACAGTTCGTAGGTCCTTTTATCTCTCTGTCTTGTCCTTCATCTGTTAATGATTCCTCACAAGAAGGGTCTTGTAGTCTAGCATCACACAAAGATGACGAGGCATCTGAATTCTTGCAAATATCACTGTCTTGTCTAGCATCACACAAAGATAATAAGGCATCGACAGCATCAGACTTCGCAGATGAAAGTAGCAACATCGATTCGGCTGCTAATCTATCGGTTGGTGTCCTAAATTTTTTTCCATGGGCAAATCGTTCAGTTGGTGCTTTTCTCTTTCTGCCAAGCCGCATGATCTGATATGTGAGAAGCAAAAAATCGCAACTAATATAAAATGTATATATGCAAAATGTAATCAGCTAATGAAATATTCATACCATCACGCATTATCCTGGATTTACATGGCCAAGTAGAAAGAAATAACAAACCTTATCTCTACTTGCTGTCGCTGGAATGGGATCAGGATATTTTTCTGTTGGCCCTTTCTTTCCAACAAAATGTAAACTACATACGTAGCTATCCTTTGTGCAAACAAAGCCATCAGCACGGCAACAAGCACGGATCCACGATTCTCTTCGTTTTTTGAATTTTCTTTCCGAAGGAAAAGGATGGAAAGTAACAGGTATTCCGTCTTTTATTGACCTTTCTGGATATCGTGAATCAGTGTTACATGTACCCCAAGCACATCTTTTAACCATGATACAGTCACTGAAACAACAGCCACGCACGGCTGCACGCCGCTGACTTTAAACTGATCTTTTTTCAATATTACTCTGACTGAATTTTATACACGTTATAAATTATATACACAGAAGTCAGTTTTCTCAATTATTTCGTCGAATTTCTTTAATATTCTCGGTAAAAACGCGAAAAAAATCAGATTTTGTTCACCACTTAAACGCACGTGTAATACTATATATACAATTTGTTCGCAATGTTTGTCCGAGTCGTTGTTATTTTTAACACGTGCAGTGTCACGTGTTGTTGAGTGTCAGAAAGGTGGATTGTGGACATTAGGGGGCAGAGCTTATAAGTATTATATATTCTGCCTTCATAAATGTCTTGGTTTCCATCAGTGGCTTATACCACTTTTTTAAACCACTCAGGATTATTTATTGGATGGTTACACCCCCATTCATAAGAATTTTTAGCTGGTCTGGGCAACCAGAAACGCTAGACATCCGAAAAATTTCAGTGTTTATTATGTTCTGCTCGATTGACCCATCTGACCTTTGTGCAAAAAATTATATACCCACTTTAACTTGTATCTGAAGTCTTCATGCCGACAATGTTTACGAATATATAAAATTTTGTTGCCTAGAAACTATAAGGCATGTCTACAAAGCTCTTCTTTGGCAGAGGCATCTTTAAAGCATACAAAATGGAGGAATATTTCGAAGAAGGACGACCAACTTTGGTTTGTTTATGTTCATATGCACCTTTTAGGCAAGTTTCAGTGCCCGGTGTAGAATTTCACGGTTAAAATACATCGAGATTGCACTAAAATTGTGTTAAAATACCAAGCCACGTATTAATCACAGAGATTTGACATGAATGGTCCCTAGAAACACATATTGTATTGACAAGCCAAACAATATCCAACATTTTGCGTCCGTAGCTCAGAAGAGTAAGAAATCGGAATTCGTGGTGGCTCGCTTGAGATATGTTGCCTATTGCGCTATATATTTTACTTTACGCTTGCTTTGAAGATAAATGTCGTGATACCGAATAAGATTTCTATATCATCATATTATAATTTTTGCTATATAAATCTCTAATATTATGGTGGCCATTTGGTTTGCAAGTCCAAGCGGTTAGTGCTCATGCATGTCCACAATTTCTCGCCATGATAAATATTTTCCCCAATTTCTCTTGCTGGCCCATTGACTGGAAATATACATTCTCTACTTTGCTACTTTATTCTCACGGTTTCAAGAATCCCCCCTTGACAGGTAAAATCATCTGCATGTCTTTCTATAGACAGAGTAAAAGAATATAATCTAGCACATTGCCAACCAATAAGTTAACAGAAATACAGAAGTATCTGCAAAACTCTCCTGCAAAGCACCAGAAGGTCCAGCTTAATTCAGTTTTCCAGCGCTGTTAATATTAATAAACAAAATATTTGTATTGTTTGGCAGATATAAAAATGATACATATAAAGATTGAAGAAGATTTCCGCTATATTTCCAAGACCGAAGTTGTCAAAAAAATGATTGAACTAGTTCATGAATTGCAGGTAGGCCCCTAATGATCTATTTTAGTGTATCTACGCTAGCATGTGTATTCTTATACTTCAGAAACACCAAAAAGATCCTTTCAGATAGATTGTTCTAAATAATTGTGTATAAAGTTTCTTTTGTTTTTACTTTTTAGGACCATAAAGTCCAAATTCCTTTTGTCTGAAACAAATTGGCAATCTTCCTGTCATTCTGATTGATCAGGAAAGTATATATCTCATTGTTGGAAAACACATTTTGCTGCGTACCGATGTTGGTAAAATAGCAGAAGCTGTTGTTGCCTTTTAGCCCTTAATGGATTTTGATTATCCCAAACAACACGAGCTAAGATTGGCATTCCTACAATTTCTTGTTTTTAAAGACAACCGAATCCCAAACAACATTAGTGCAATTTGCAGTACCATATTAAAGTCATATTAAAAATATAAAGAAGGCTCTGCATGAGTAACTCAACGATTAAACTGTAGATACTCTAGGTACAAATTAGTTTCAGATTCCATATAATACATTCTTTAATCCTGTTTATTTTGATATTAGAATTCTGCAATTTAATTTTCTTGAATTGAGAAAGTAGGAGAATAGCAAGAAAAGTTTACTTTGTGTAAGAAAATATTTCTTGAAAGATATTTTCTATTTCTTGAAAGATATTTTCTTGAAACAAGAAATTAAATTTCAAGAAATATTTTCTTATTGAGTAATCATTTTCTTACTGAGTAAATATTTCTCGCTATTCTCCCACTTTCTCAAAATAAGAAAATATTACTTGAATTAAGTAAATATTTCTTAAATCAAGTTTGTTTTTCTTAAAACAAGGTATCAACATTTCTTATTTTAAGAAATTCTTTCTCAGTATTTCTTGGTATGAGAATGAAATTTCTTGTTTCAATAAACAGGTTTGAATATATTTGTTGTTATTTACTTAAAACAAGAAAATTTATTTTCTTGGTTTAAGAAAATAATTTCTAGGTATGTTTTCTTGACTAGAAATTATTTCTCGCTATTCTCCCATGAAAATATTTCTTATTTCAAGATAAAAAATCTTGAAATAAGTTTTTTTTTCTTAAAATAAGAAAACGATTTTTTGCTGTGTAGTAATACATGACCTTTCTTAGGCCAAACAAAGACCGCGAGTTGAACTTCAAGATCGATTTAAGACTGTTTGAAATATTGTTGTGCTACTTTTAGGCCTCTTCTTACTTAGGCTTGTAGGTTGTACTAAGTAAAAAAAAGTTTGTAGGTTTGTAATAAGTAAAAAAAAGAGCGAACTGAATTTTGCTCTATAAGTTTTCTGTGGATGGGAAAATATGAAAGCTTTAGTGCCAAGATCGAAAGCGTTAAAATGGGTGCAGTGGTTGGAAGAAAATGGGCGTGGTTCAAACCTAACCGTCCGAAATGTTAACTCTCTGTACAACTCTAACTGTAATAATTCTCTGTTTAGGCGTTTCACGTAAATAGAGATTACTTCATGCATGGTTGGTTCGTTTGTACGATTTTTATGCACTCGTTGCGAAAAATTCCTATACATAGGCATTGTTCGCAACGAGTGCATAATAAAAATCGTACAAACGAACCAACCATGAAGTAATTTGTTTATTTTATGAGTTATTTTATATTATTGTGAAATTTAGTGCCGAGTATAGACACAATTTAAACGTTTCCAAAATTCGCATCAAAAAGTTCCATAATACAACAACTCTTTCTTCAAGTATCTCTCGAAGCTGGCAAACATAGAACGTAGGGAACTATGTTTGTCATCAATCAATTTTATTTAAAATCAAAGCACGCCAGCCTCGCACAACTAAAAGCTGATTTACAGGAGGGGCGTGATCTATAAAACAGTAGAATATATGGAATATTATATGAACCCCCAACCTCCCCCCAACAACAAAGTGAGAAAAATAAAGTCAAGCAAAGTAAATAAAGAGAGTTAACTATAATTAAGTCAACGTGGTTCTAAAAGGACAGTTCCGCAATACTACGCTTAAATTGACTGAGCGAAGTCGCTCTTTTTGCATCTAATGGAAGATTATTCCACAGCATTGATGCGCTATATTTAAAGCTTCTCTTCAAAAAATTAGTTTTTGGTTTTGGAAGTGCTAGATCCGTTTCCTGATTTCGTAAATTATGGCGTCTATTAAGTTCAGTAAGTCTTACAAGGCTTTCTCTTAAACATGGCGTACAATTTTCATTAAGGATTTTATACATTAGGATACTCTTCAACTTAGACCGCCTAACATGTAGATTATCCCATCCTAAACCATCCAAAAGATCACTTGATCTAATCATATCTTGCTCCAGTGATAACCCTAGCCGCACGATTTTGTAATATTTGCAATTTATCTTTTAATATTTTATCGCATGTATCCCACAGGGGAGAGCAATAATCAAAATATGGTTAAACCCAGAAACACATGGAAATTAGCAATCATAGAAGAACTTATTCGAGGAAACGATGGATTAGTGCGAGCCGCAAACATCCGCACAAAAAATGGTCGCACGAACAGACCAATCACCAAATTATACCCGTTAGAGATCTCCGCAGAAATTAGCAAAGAACAACAGAAACAATCGAATGGCGCGGAAGAAACCGACACGCGAACAATTGCTGAAAACAATTCATCACGACCAAAGAGAGCGGCGGCTCTAAGAGCAAGAAACAAAATTTCAAAATGGGTCGAAGAACTTTCCCCGGCCCCGGAGGATGTTGAATAATGCTAGATTAGATTACTAACTTTAAACCTATCTTTATCTTTAAAGTAGATCATTAACATTCATATTTCTAGGCTAGTTTTGTGTTAGCTGTGCCTCGGTCACATGACAGTTGTTTTGGCGCACTTTTATATAGTTTTAGAAAAACTCGAAACACAACGCTTTGTAATAGTTTTATACACAATAATATTCAACCAAACAAACCTGGTCCTCGTCTTTTACGACAGTTCCTGACGCTGAGGACAAGGTTCCTGCCGCTGTGGACAAGGTTCCTGACGCTGAGGAAAAGGTTCCTGACGCCGTGGAAAAGACTCCTGACGCTGAAGACAAGGTTCCTGATGCTGAGGACAAGGTACCTCACGCTGAGTACAAGGTTCCTGACGCTGGGAACAAGGTTCCTGACGCTGACGACAAGGTTCCTGACGCTGAGAACAAGGTTCCTGACGCTGAGGTCAAGGTTCCTGAGGCTGAGGACAAGGTTCCTGACGCTGAGGACAAGGTTCCTGGCGGTGAGGACAAGGTTTCTGGCGGTGAGGACAAGGTTCCTGGCGGTGAGGACAAGGTTCCTGGCGCTGAGGACAAGGTTCCAGGCGGTGAGGACAAGGTTCCTGGCGGTGAGGACAAGGTTGCTGACGCGGAGGACAAGGTTCCTGACGCTGAGGACAAGGCTCCTGACGCGGAAGACAAGGTTCCTGACGCTGAGGACAACGTTCCTGACGCTGACGACAAGTCGCCTGATGCTGCGGACAAGGTTCATGACGCTGAGGGCAAGGTTCCTGAGACTGAGGACTAGGTTCCTGACGCTGAGGACAAGGTTCCTGACGCTGAGGACAAGGTACCTCACGCTGAGGACAAGGTTCCTGACGCTGAGGACAAGGTTCCTGACGCTGAGGACAAGGTTCCTGACGCTGAGGAAAAGGTTCCTCACGCCGAGGACAAGGGTCCTGACGCGGAGGACAAGGTTCCTGACGCTGAGGACAACGTTCCTGACGCTGACGAGAAGTCGCCTGATGCTGCGGACAAGGTTCATGACGCTGAGGGCAAGGTTCCTGAGACTGAGGACTAGGTTCCTGACGCTGAGGACAAGGTTCCTGACGCTGAGGACAAGGTTGCTGACGCTGAGGAAAAGGTTCCTGACGGCGAGGACAAGGTTCCTGACGCTGAGGACAAGGTTCCTGACGCTGAGGACAATGTTCCTGACGCTGACGACAAGGCGCCTGATGCTGTGGACAAGGTTCATGACGCTGAGGGCAAGGTTCCTGAGACTGAGGTATAGGTTCCTGACGCTGAGGACAAGGTTCCTGACGCTGAGGACAAGGTACCTCACGCTGAGGAGAAGGTTCCTGTCGCTGAGGACAAGGTTCCTGACGCTGAGGACAAGGTTCCTGACGCTGAGGAAAAGGTTCCTGACGCCGAGGACAAGGTTCCTGACGCTGAGGACAAGGTTCCTGACGCTGAGGACAATGTTCCTGACGCTGACGACAAGGCGCCTGATGCTGTGGACAAGGTTCATGACGCTGAGGGCAAGGTTCCCGAGACTGCGGAGTAGGTTCCTGACGCTGAGGACAATGTTCCTGACGCAGAGGACAAGGTATCTCACGCTGAGGACAAGGTTCCTGACGCTGACGACAAAGTTCCTGACGCTGAGGACAAGGTTCATGACGGTGAGTACAAGGTTCCTGACGCTGAGGACAAGGTCCTGACGTTGAGGACAAGGTACCTCACGCTGACGACAAGGTTCCTGACGCTGAGGACAAGGTACCTCACGGTGAGGACAAGGTTCCTCACGCTGAGGACAAGTTGCTCACGCTGAGGAAAAGGTTCCTGACGCTGAGGACAAGGTTCCTGACGCTGAGGACAAGGTTCCTGACGCTGAGGACAAGGTACCTCACGCTGAGGACAAGGTTCCTGACGCTGAGGACAAGTTGCTCACGCTGAGGACAAGGTTCCTGACGCTGAGGACAAGGTTCCTGGCGTTGAGAACAAGGTTTCTGGCGGTGAGGAAAAGCTTCCTGGAGGTGAGGACAAGGTTCCTGACGCTGAGGACAAGGTTCCTCACGCTGAGGACAAGATTCCTGGCGGTGAGGACAAGGTTCCAGGCGGTGAGGACAAGGGCCCTGGCGGTGAGGACAAGGTTGCTGGCGGGGAGGACAAGGTTCCCGGCGGTCAGACCAAGGTTGCTGACGCTGAGGACAAGGTTCCTGGCGGTGAGGACAAGGTTCCTGGCGGGGAGGTCAAGCTTCCTGGCGGTGAGGACAATGTTCCTGGCGGTGAGGACATGGTTGCTGGCTGTGAGGACAAGGTTCCTGACGCTGAGGCCAAGGTTCCTGGCGGTGAAGACAAGGTATCTGGCGGTGAGGACAAGGTTTGTGGCGGTGAGGACAGGGTTCCTGGCGGTGAGAACAAGGTTTCTGACGCTGAGGACAAGGTTCCTGGAGGTGAGGACAAGGTTCCTGGAGGTGAAGACGAGGTTGCTGGCGGTGAGGACAAGCTTGCTGCCGGTGAGAATAAGGTTCCTGGCGGTGAGGACAAGGTTCCTGACGGTGAGGACAAGGTTGCTGGAGGTGAGGACACGGTTGCTGGCGGTAGGACAAGGTTCCTGGCGGTAACGAGAAGCTTCCTGGCGGTCAGGACAAGGTTAGTGACGCTGAGAACAAGGTTTCTGACGCTGAGGACAAGGTTCCTGACGCTGACGACAAGGTGCGTGGCAGTGAGGACAAGGTTCCTGACGCTCAGGATAAGTTTCCTTACGGTGAGGAGAAGGTTCCTGGCTGTGAGGACAAGGTTGCTGGCGGTGAGGACAAGGTTCCTGGCGGTGAAGACAAGGTTCCTGGCGGTGAGGACAAGGTTGCTGGCGGTGAGGACAAGGTACCTGGCGGTGAGGACAAGGATCTTGGCGGTAAGGACAAGGTTCTTGGCGGTGAGGACAAGGTTCCTGACGCTGACGGCAGGGTTCCTGGAGGTGAGGACAATGTTCCTGGCGGTGAGGACAAGGTTGCTGGCGGTGAGGACAAGGTCCTGACGTTGAGGACAAGGTACCTCACGCTGACGACAAGGTTCCTGACGCTTAGGACAAGGTACCTCACGGTGAGGACAAGGTTCCTCACGCTGAGGAGAAGTTGCTCACGCTGAGGAAAAGGTTCCTGACGCTGAGGACAAGGTTCCTGACGCTGAGGACAAGGTTCCTGACGCTGAGGACAAGGTTCCTGACGCTGAGGACAAGGTTTCTGACGCTGAGGACAAGGTTCCTGACGCTGAGGACAAGGTTCCTGACGCTGAGGACAAGGTTCCTGACGCTGAGGACAAGGTTCCTGACGCTGAGGACAAGGTTCCTGACGCTGAGGACAAGGTTTCTGACGGTGAGGACAAGGTTCCTGGCGCTGAGGAAAAGGTTCCTGACGCTGAGGACAAGGTTCCTGACGCTGAGGACAAGGTTGCTGACGCTGAGGACAAGGTTCCTGACGCTGAGGACAAGGTTCCTGACGCTGAGGACAAGGTTCCTGACGCTGAGGACAAGGTTTGTGACGCTGAGGACAAGGTTCCTGACGCTGAGGACAAGGTTCCTCACGTTTAGGACAAGGTTCCTGACGCTTAGGACAAGGTTCCTGACGCGGAGGACAAGGTTCCTGACGCTGAGGACAAGGTT